CAAAGTACTTTATCAGACATCAACGTACTTTATCAGACATCAAAGTATTTTATCAAACATAAAAGTACTTTATCAGACATCAAAGTACTTTATCAGACATCAAAGTACTTTATCAGACATTAAATTATTTTATCAAACATCAAAGTCTTTATCACACATCAAAATACTTTAGCAGCATCAAAGTACTTTATCAGACATTGTATTACTTTATCAGACATCAAAGTATTTTATCAAACATCAAAGTACTTTATCAGACATCAAAATACTTTATCAGACATCAAATTACTTTATCAGACATTAAATTACTTTATCAGACATCAAAGTTTTTTTTCAGACATTTAGATACTTTATCAGACATTAAAGTACTTTTCAGACATTTGGATACTTTATCAAACATTAAAGTACTTTATCCGACATCAAAGTATTTGTCAGACATCAACATACTTTATCGGACATTTAGATACTTTATCAGACATTAAAGTACTTTGTGAGACATAAACATATTTTATCAAACATTACAGTATTTTATCAAACATAAAAATACTTTGTCAGATATTAAAGTATTTTCTGAGACAGTAAAGTATGCTAACATCTGTTACTTTGGACATCAAAGTATCAGACTCTCGCCTACTATGACACCAAACTTTAGCTCGGCGTCTGAAAGAATGATGGGGTTTAAGCCGTGTATGTGTTTGTTGGCGGCCATCTTGAATCTGTGACTCCAAACGTTCATGAGCTGCGGAAACACGTCCACGGTTCAGTTCTGTACGTTTCTCTAAAGTTTAACCAGTGGTTCATGGGAAATTTTGCTAACAGACAGACAAACAAACACACTTCAGGCTGTTGTATTAAAGTATTTCCCCACAGAAGTACCACCGAACCTGTATTAATACTGAGTACTCATCGTATGTACATAAACGTGTAGTAAACCGGGCCGGGTCCTTCAGGGGTCCGAGTGTTTGTACTGAAGACTGGTGACGTGGTGGAGGGGCAGCACGCTGCTGGACCGAGAGCCGGAGTAGCACCAGCAGCACAGACAGGACTGCGGAGACAGAGGGACAGGGGCACAGAGGGACAGGGACACAGAGGGACAGGGACACAGAGGGACACAGAGGGACAGGGACAGTCAGATTAAAGGAGCAGTCCGACTCTTTTTACTCATAAAACCAACTGGAGACGATCACGCAGTGACAATGCTTCAGTCGTCCATTCAGGACTTTGTTGGACACTTTGGACCTTTCCACCGTCCCTTCTTCCTGCAGATTTGTTCCTCCGCTCTACGTATTTACGGTTCGTGAGTTTTGCTCTTCAGGTCCAACAGTGTCGAGGAAAATGCCCCATTATCGAACTCTGGACTCCCAAACTGACGGTGACGGACCTTCTCGTGATATTTTAGGTGAACGTTGAGTGTAAAAACCAAGGAGGATGTTCTGGAACAAGAACTGGGTCTGAGGTTCTGGTGGCTGTGGCTGAGCGGTCAGATCAGTTCATTTAGCTTTTAGTTTTTAAATAATCAGCCGAAGTCTGAAGAGAAATGCTGAAAGATCGTTTCAAAGTCTGGAGAACTTTTAATCAGGACCACGTTAAAGACTACAAGAACGTCCGGCTGCTTGGAAACTAAACGTTTAATGTGGATTAAGACTTTTGCACAGCAGCAGCCTGGAGTTCTAATCGCTGACTTCACATCTCATCATAACCAAATGAAAAGTTTTCTTTCACGAGTTTAAAACTATTGTGAAGCTGAACTCCAAACTTAAATCTGAAAACAACCGAAGTTTCATAAACTGTTCAGTGATGCGTTCAGGGTCCAGTGCTGTGGTGGGAACTTCCCCATGGCGAGCTGACCTCCTGATCTCCTGACCTCCTGACCTCCTGACCTCCTGACCTCCTGCTTTTATAATCTTCAAGGCCGAGTTAAGATGACCGGACTGTTAAAGTGACGTTTCTGCTCCAAGAGCAAAACAACAAAAAGAACCGAAGTTCTTTCACAGATTTACGGTTCAAAGAAAGAAACGATAGAATAATGATAGAAGTTAGGACGATCAGTTTGGGTTTGGTCCGGTTCTGATGGGCCAGAAACAAACCGAACCAACGCCAAACGAAGGAGGAGCAGCTTTGGAGTCGGACCACTGAGAGCGCTGAGCCAGCCTTCAAACTGCACGTTGTTATACGGCTGTTTTAGCTGTTCGTGACCCAAAACATTCGGCTCGTTCAGGAGATGGCTGCTTTGACTTTTTGTTTTCATGAATATTTACCTTGATTTACAAATATTTCCTCCAAAGATTCACGGTGAAAGATCTTTAATTCCTTCAAATATGTCCTAATTTTTTAATCTGTTGCACATAATTTGTTTTATTTTCCTTTAGCTGCTTTTAGCGACCCTTTGAGCCTTGGACAAATTTTGTTGTCATTCAGGATTTAAATATTTCACACAGATTTAAACTGCATTGCAACCGTCAAAATATTAAAATGTTCATTAAAACATTTGTTTTCTTTTAATAACTTTAGCTGTCATTTTGCTACCGATAGCTTTTAGTTGGCCTTTTGCTACGTTTGTCCTCCAGCTAGGCTTTTAACATTTTTTTAGCTAGTCTTTAGCTACTTTTAGCTTTTATCTGGCCTTTTGCTACTTTAGTTAGCGTTTTGCTACTTTCATCTTTCAACCAGAATGCTGTTAGTTTTAGCTAGCCATTTCTTTTAATTAGACTTTAACTAGCCTTTAGCTACTTTTAGCTTTTATCTGACCTTCTGCTACTTTAGTTAGCGTTTTGCTACTTTCAGCTTTCAACCAGAATGTTGTTAGTTTTAGCTTGCCATTTCTTATAATTAGACTTTAACTAGCCTTTAGCTACTTTTAGCTTTTATCTGACCTTTTGCTACTTTAGTTAACGTTTTGCTACTTTCAGCTTTCAACCAGAATGTTGTTAGTTTTAGCTAGCCATTTCTT